AATCAAAGCTTTCCACCAATTTGCAATCGAAATTAGTGAAGATCATGGATGGTTTACATACCATTGAGAGGCCTTTTGCACCATCAACACTCATCACATTTAGAAGCTATGTAAATCAACCCATCACATTTTGAAGAGATGTAATAGCCAAACCATGTAATTACATAGTTAACCTACACATTCAAAATTATAGAACCTATTCAACAGCCTAACCATGTAATTATATAGGTAACCTACACATTCTAAATTAGCACAGGGGTTCATTTGCTTTAGAGTTTTGGCTCACGTACACAAAAATCTATGCTCGACATATAATTTTGTTTCGAATTTGTAATATATTTCTAATTTCTCCAGTTAAACTTGAATGATGAGTGTGATCCAACAGGATTGATCAGAGGAGTTGCCATTAGACTAGGCTATAACCAACTCAGATTAGCAGATATGTTTGCTACAGAATGAAGAAATAAAATAAAATTACAAGAGTATTGAGAAGGAAACAAGAAATCCCATGAAGCGCCTTGCAAAAACTGGTAAAACAATTGTACATAAAACAAAATAAATTGAACAAAAACAAAATAAATATCCAACAAACACGAAAAATTACACCTAAAGAGGTAAATGTATCCTTTGGCTTTGGTAAAAGTAATAATGCTGACTGAAGATAAGAGGCACAAAGATTTCGACCTCCCAAGAGAGGGAGAGAGGAGCGCAAGGATCCAAGTATCTATATGAGCAAATCAGAAGTGTGCCAAACTGTATACAAGAATCCATGCAAGCTGAACAAAAATCAATGATTACTTCGCAGAAAAATATCAAAATAAAACGGAGATAGGTGACAGAGCATATACACAACATACCAGAAACAGACATACTGAGGCAAATAATCCTTCTTGAAGAAGGGCTCCGTGACCTCCAAACTCTTCTTCATCGATTTTAAGCACAAGAGCATAGTACCCATAGATAATCGCGGAAGAGAAAACCACAAACCTGAACACCAAAGCCAGCACCAAGAATGATTGCTTTTACAACACAAGCATCTCACAACATATAATTAATATAAATAATATTAAATGCTTATGTTATAATCTCCTAATATAAGTTCAAAATTATTTAGTTTCAAATCAACTTATGAGATTTATGGATGATTTGTTTTTCATTTAAAGGCGTCAGAACTTATTAAGTTCATTCACTTAACAAATAAATGTCAACAAGTTTCAAGAATCTCATGATGGTACCATAGATTTTTTTAGACAGAAATATTTTACTGAATAAATCAAATGAAATGACATGTTTCTTCAATTCATACTTTAAAAGTTACAAAAATAATGGCAATATTCTACTCACCAAAAGCACAATTAGAAGTTATAAAGTAAAATTCGGTTAAACCATAGGTTCTGATCAAATTGTCAAATGACAATGTCTACACTTAAATATCTTCAATGAATTACATATATAGTCAATGATAATGTTGAGAAGTCCCCGAATGACCTTATTTATGGGCCTACATAACTTTAAGCAGCTTCTACGTGGCATGTAACATGTAAAATTAACCAGAAACAGTAACTTCAAATGAAAATAAGATTCAAAGAAGTATTTACTTACAAAAGAAACCAGAAGCCTCCAACTAAAGGAATTGCACCCCATAGTAATCCACACACAAGAGCCAATGCTTGTCTAATCCAATGAAGTACATCACCGAGCTGATCCTGCAACAAATTGAACAAATGCAGTTAGTCATTTCCAAGTGAATATATCTCATACTATATAAGGAAACTACCAATAGTAAGGTTTTTCAATATACAAAGTTTTGATGTAAGATATACAAGATAAGTGCTCAAATTGCCTGGGAATATTCATGAATCATGATTATGAAAGGATCATATGTTTCCAGGGCTGTAAGCCTGTCAACCACCAGGTCAACTGTGGTAGCTTGATATAAAGATTACAATGAATATTATGACTTCATTGACATGTAGCTAATAATGGAGGCAATACTTCATTGACATGATTTTACCATATATTAGTAAATAATTGATTGACAAGATTTAACCATATCAGCAACCTAATAGGTTGGGCAAATATTAGGACATTAATGGCTAAATTAAGGCCATAGAATCAGGAATATTATTATAAAAATAACGGGGTAAGATCACTTAAGCAGGCAAAAAAGTTATCTTTTGTATTCAACCTTTCTCACTTGGGTAGGCAAAGAGTGCCTGACTGGAACTTTTCCTGGAGTTCTTGCAGACTTTTAATATTTCAGATTATCCTTTAACAAGATTCTGTCTCATAATTTATTTATAATTTTATGCTCTTTACTCTATCAGATTCCTACCACAATCCTATATATCATAAATATGAATCTTGGTATTCCTACCACAATTCTATAGATTGTGTGTATTAGGAAATTAGAGAAGACATAAAAACCAAAGATGGATAAGTCTGATGGAATTCTAGTGTATAACAGATTTAAGACAACCGTGGATTAAGCAATAAAAAAACATAATATATAAGATCATTACTGACCTCCACATCCATGGACTATATAAGATCATTACTTGTGTAGGAGCAGAAGTTAGATTTCTTAAAAAGATATTTCATTGCTCCCTCCAAGTAACTCTTGAATCATGTTTCTTAACACTCTAGAACCAACTTGTCCTTTTTTCCAAATAAATTTGTATTTCCTCTTACTTTCAATCAGTGAAATGGGTCTACACTTTCTGATACAGTAGCTAAAATCCTGTACAACTCTTCATTCCATACGAAATTTAACATCTTGTTTCTTGATACTACACAGTCTATTGGTCACTTTATGTATTAACTATAAAATGTGAGCCTCATCTGTATTTGGCATGTTGAGTAGTAGCGTAGCTTTAAAAAAAAAAGAGAAAAAAAAAAGACCCAACACATGCTAATTATTCCATTGATACAAAAACACAACCATTACAAAATTCTAGATAACAAAGAGTTTACCATACAAACACATGGACTGCGCCCAAATAAAAAGGCTGGTAAAGCAATTATGCAATTTTACCTAGCCACCACTCCACTCCTACTTAAGCCTCTTGCTCTAACAAAATTCAAGCATAAAGTTTATGTATAATAACAAATACTTCACCTGTGTATTATATGGCATCAGAACTAAGAAATAAACTAGCATTGGCAGAAAAATAGTCATTTCTATTTGAATTGATTGTATAACACATAGAAGAATCAGCTCTAAGAAAAAAGGGAAAATTAGACAACGTGGACTGAAACCTTATCCCAGGAAGCATCAGGATCTAATAATTTGGATAATTTAAATGGGGATAAGTGACCATTCTGATGCTGTTGCTGTTGCTGCTGAATATTCAATTTTATTGACTTCCTTTCTCTCATCTGAAATGAAAAATCAAAACTGTTATTTCCCCAAAAAGGGATGTAAAATCCTCAAAAACTACAAAAAAATAAAACACTCGCAGTAATACTCAGGAGCCAATCACAGGAGCAGGACACGATTTGATAAGAAAAAGAACAGGAAGTCATGATTACCGTTGTAGCAAGGGTTGATCAGAGAAGATCAAAAGGAATTGGACTATAATCTAAGGAGATGCGTGCTTTTTCGTTGGTAGGTGGATAGTGAGGAGGACGAGATCGGAGTTAGACCTCAGACGCGACCATTCAATTCAATGAATCAATCTCAAGCCAACCTCATACAAATTGCCCGCATTATATTAAATTATTAGTACAACTCCTACTCCTACTTCATCTAATACTACTACTAGCATATAAAACCTTTTTTTTAATTTTTTTTTTCTCGAAAATTAATCACTGAGTTATGGCAATAAGATAAATAATATATATAATATATATGAAATCTCATGTATACCCAACAAAAAATAGTATTTATTTTCACATATATATTAATAAACTCATATAATTGTTTTGTGGGCCAACTAAATGTGAATTGAATTTTTAAATACTGGTTATTTTGTGCACAACAACAAACATAGATCATTAACCTTAAAAATTGGTCAATTTTAGTTACTGTAGACCCAACTCACCAATATGGGTCTTTTCTTAAAACAGTACCCAACTCAATACTAAGTCATAGACAATTTCATAAACTTCAGCCTAAAACCAAATAAAACAAACATCAAACGGCTGATATAAAGTCAATATTGATGGACGGCTAAGATTGTATGGAGTCAAGTGTAAATAACATGAACAACATAAATAGCAGAACACGCCCGTTTATACTTGACACCGCCCATAGTATGAAGTGTCATTTTAAATGTTACAAAGAGATGTTAGGGTGTGTTTTATTTTTTCGTCTCTTCCATAATTTTGTCTGAAAATCAACACCCCACATATGTCTTCATCCTGTTCGGGCCAACCCATTAGCCAGATCTACAAATCCGGCCGATTCCTGCAGATAGCGGGAGCTGGTGGTTGATGATGGCTCCAACAGGCGATTCAAAAGAAGGTCAACGGGGGATACTCAAATTGCTCAACGGGTGATATTCAAGAAGGTGAGGTCGTCTTTCTTTCCAACCGCTCCGTTTTATCTAAAAGGTAATGCCTCTTCCCATTTTCTTAGAGAAATAATAGTCTTTGTTGATACTTGATATGTTTGTAAGTTTCTTAGAGAATCTTTTAACAAAGACGCATCAAATGCCCCTATGAAAAATAAATAAACCATACTTACTAACATTGATTCTTATACTTTTTATCAGTGTAAATAAATTTATTTGATTTTGTCAAATGTAGTTCTGTCAAATAGATCAAAAGACCAGAACTAATAAAAGTATAGTAATCATTAGTTTTATTGCTTCTTTATATTAGGAACCATAATAACCTGATGAAGACAGAATATTATACTATTTGTTAAGAGTCAATGCATTTAGGATCCTTTTATGATAATATTGGACTCTATCTATTAAAGATAATTTCTTGTATATAATTTAATTGTATTTTCTATCCTGTTATGAGTCTAATTAATTATATATTCCACATTGTTTTTGCACGAGGTACAATGCGTATATACACAAGGAACATTGGCAAAATCATGTATAGTGAGGTGATTCTCTAATTAAATTCTCCAATATTGATTTGTGTTCTTATAATAACATGAGATATTTATTTATTTTTTGTTTTTTTGTCCGATACAGTGCCTGAAAGAAGCAAACTGAAAACACCCAATAATTAGATCGAGAATAAAAATGTCAATGGCACATAAGATCTTTGTGTATGATATCTAATCTATTATACTTTTTTTGCATGAGGCGTTTGTGACAGGAATATCAAGTCAAATTGGCAGATTGACAACTAAAAGAATGTAACACTTGACATGTAATTATTGTACTAAATTTTTATATATTGATTATTTATACATTGAATTGTAATGTTCATGATATATTTTATTTTGTATCATGCGTTGGAGAACCAAATCGAAAATGCACAATAACTTGATCAAGAGTAAACACGTCAACCGCACCTCGATCATATTTAGACATGAGGTATACAGGTACAATTATGGCTATGTTTCGTAAACCAAATAAGCTAGCTTATAGCTTATTTGTTAGCTTATAAGCTTCATGTATTCAAATAAGCTTTGTTTGGTAGGACGAGCTTATTTAAAAAGCTCGAGCTTATTTGATAAGCTTCTTTATGTAGCTTTTCAAATAAGCTAGTTGAATTTTTTATTCCAGCTAGCTTATCAGCTAATTTTACCAAACACTTTTATCATATAAGCTAGCTTTTCAGCTATAAGCTATAAGCTATAAGCTAGAAAGTTACTGATAAGCTATAGCTAGCTTATCAGTTATCAGCTAGTTTATCAGCTAGTTTTACCAAACATAGCCTATATAAACTATACATAAACTTATGGTTTTATTAAAAACCTGTAACCGGAATAATGTTTTCTTGTTTGCAGTTTTTTCAACTCGCCTGCCTTTTACTTGCCGAGCAACGTTTGGCATCCGAATTCTCCACTCTGTATATTTGTTCTTGTTAATATCCCCCAAATATCATGTTGGTTGAACTGAAAATAGACAATAAATGACTAATTAGAATTGATAATTTTTCAGTGCATATTTGTATAGTTTTGAATAAAGGATAGACAATATTAACCGAAAAATAAAATAAATATGGACAAAGCAAATCATATAACAAAAACCTGGAATGATGCTTTCTCGTTTGCTTTCTTTTCGACTTATCTTTCTTTTTGAGTGTTGTCTGGCTTCTTAATTTTCCATCTAACATATTTGTTCTTGTTAGTGTCCCTAAATCCCTAAAATATCAAAAAATAGTCAGTAGTAAACGGAAAATAAGAGAAATATAGACATAGCTAAAGAAGACGAATGGTGAGTATTTTACCGTAGGATAATAAATGATACTCCAAGCAATTGAAGTTAGATTTATAGAAGATGGATTTATATGTGTTAGATAAGCACGTCTCATATATTGAGATAGAGATGAGCATAAAAGTTGATCGGTAGAGATAAGTATAAATGTTTACCATATATTATAAATGATAAACCCAAATATGGTGAAACAAAATCTTGATCAAATCTACACAATCGCAATCAGATATATGGCAATGAGTTGTGTGATTTTGTTTTAAAGTTTTTGAAAATTCAAACGGGTTAGGCGGGTTATCCAAATTTTTATCAAAAACAGAAAAAAGAAATACTTATTATAGTAAGTATGAGCCGGGATTTTGAAATGGATTTAAGTTACTTTTTTAGATTTTTTAGATTGTCTTTTCATATATTAATAGATTATTAAAATTTATTAAAAATAAATACGTATAAGAGTTTTGTTTAAATAAATCTCTACATGATAATAATTGAGATATTGACAAAAATATTCAAATTCATTTAATATCTTATAACATGCAGCACAAAAATTATCGCTGATTCAAAATTAAAAATTTCAAACAACAAATTGAAAATTTTGTGCATTATCGGAAATAAGAGCATCTTTTAATTAAGTTATTAGAAATTTGTGGGTTAAAATGATTGGGATAAGAGTTTTGTTTAAATAAATTTCTACATCTCTACTTGATAAGAATTTGGATATTGACTAAAATTCAAATTTATTTACAATCCCATAACATGCGGCCAAAATTCTTTCGATAACATGTTGAAAATTTAAAAAAATAAAAATTGCTATGTTTATTATTTGTTTAGGCGGGAATTCCTCTTATTTTTTGCTTAAAATTATTTAGGTTCCCTCTTTATATAATAATAGATACTTTCAAATCATATTTATTTTTTATTAAAAAAATCTTATTTTAATTATGTTATTATTTTATTTAAAAATTCACAAAATTATGATGACAATTTTATTTTTTTTTTTCCGGAACAATAGAGATTTTATAAAACGCACAACGTGCAAAAAGAAAAACAGTCAAAGAATGAAAGATACAACCAACGACTGAATAAATTGGGAGGCAAACCCGAAGGTCGCCTAATGTCGGACCTAGCA